TATTTTTTTGTTCCCTTTCCCCACCTCCTCCCCATCCATTCTGTCCTTAATATAGCAGTTTCCCCTGTTCTACAATGTGGTTTCTGACCTTTTTTCTAAGAACATCACTTTAATAATAGGAGTGGCTCTCGTGTCTGACCCTCAACTGTATCTTTGATTGCTTTCATTGCTTTGCCCTTTGATTGGTTAAATGTTTCCATCTTGTTTTCTACACCATTCATTTCTGTAGTATAAACTCATTTCTCCCCTGCTGCTGCTTTACTTAAACGTTTTTTATGCTGTGATTTCTTTCCTTATACTTAAGAAATTTTTGATGCTGTGGGTTCAGCCCTGGACTACCGGCTCTTCTAAGCCCACCAGCAACTGTGGGCCGGAAGGAGGGAGCGCTCTGCTCCTGTCAGCCTGTGCTGTGGGACTCCAGCGGGCAGTTCCGCCATGCCCCTAGAGTCGCTGTGAGTTGGGAAGGAGTCACGGGCAGTGAGTTTGCTTTCTGCGTGCGCCAGGACTGCCTCGGTGGCATTGCGCTTGGGCACACTTCACTCTTACTTTTTAGATGTCCTAACAAAGAGCTTGAAAAGTTTGTGGAAAACAGAGTTACAAGATAATTGGCATTTTCCATAAACTTCTTAAAGTCCTTCATTTTTATTATTTGATAGAATTTATAACTTCATTTCTTTGTACAAACAGCTATCCAAAATTTTTTTTGGAGAAAACCTTTTCCCCAAAACGTGCTTCCCCCGTTGCTGTCTGTTTTGACACTTCCTTTCATGGGACAGAATCTTGACATTGGTTCTGTGTTTTGTTTTTCACATGTGCATTAAAGTTTCTGAATGTCTTTTATTTATAACTGTGGGAGTATTCTTCAGGTGAATGTTGCCTATTTTTAAAAATCATTTTATTGGGGGCTCTTACAGCTCTTATCACAATCCATACATAGATCCATTGTGTCAAGCACATTTGTACATATGTTGCCATCCTCATTTTCAAAACATTTTCTTTCTACTTGAGCCCTAGATATTGGCTCCTCATTTTCTTCCTCCCCCATAAATATTGCTTTTTATTGTGCATTAAGAAACGTTTGCTCTCTTTTAAAGAAAAAGATCCCTTGAGATAGATCAAGTGGTGGCAGTTTTGTGTGGTATACGAGCATACCATGACTGAATGGTCTATTTGAGTTAATAGAGTGATGCTCTTTGCCCACTGCTCCCATTCCAGACAGAGAACAAAGCACATTCAAGACTCTGAAAATATTTTCCTTTTTACTAAATAAAGATCATAGAGACAACCTCTCCTATTTCCCGGCTCTGAATCCTGACACTGTATTTGTTGAGTCTCCGGTGCTCTGTGTTGTGTAAGCAGTATTGATGAAGCCATTTGCATTACGTTTGAAATGTTGGAATGTTTTATGAAAATACAAACATAATTGTATTTGTAACACTTTGTAAAAGGTGTTAAAAGTGTATGTGTAACTTTTTAACCCTACAAACTAAGCTCTGTACCTGTGTCTCGGCCAATGCTGAGGTGGTGGTGATAGCAAGTACTGTGCTTTGTTTGTCGTCAGCACTGAGGTCTTTGCTAGGTACCAAGTAGAAAGTGCACACTGGAATCTCCCCACTTCCCAAGTGCGATGGACACGACATGCATGTAGTACTTGTTTTTCACTAACTGGAAGAGAACCAAAGAGGACTGTTGCTTTTACCAGGGAAAAAGGCACAAAGTGAAACTAGCATGGGACATTGTTTGCAGGGACCTACTTCGAGACAGTGTGTGCTCAAAGCAAGTGAGAGTGCCAGGCTGCTGGTGGCGTTCAGCAGGGAATTACTGGGCCAGCGTCTCACACGATAGCTGTGAACTGTGTCTGTGAGCACACTGCTACCATTGTTTTAGTCTTCACGTGTGGTTTGGTATGGTGTAGTAGGGCCTGGGACTCCTCAACAGCTGTTCCAATATAAATGAATGGTAATTACCAAGGGCTCAATAGAAAGTAATTGGCTAGAAAAGAATAATGGCAACACATGTACAAATAGGCTGATACAATTGATGTGTGGATTGTAATAAGAGTTGTAAGAGCCCCCAATAAAATGATATTTTAATTTAAAAAATTAATGGTTACTGCATCTCTGCTTCATACTAGTTTGATTTATAGAAAGTTTCATAGGAGTCCTGTATTGTCAGATAGTGAAGGAAACTTGTGTTTTTGTGTTTGAATAAGTGAAAAAATGAGTAAATGATGAATGAGAAATGGCTTGTTCATGAAATAGCCTGTTAGGTTGATTCAATATTTTATATTCTCTTATTAAGGCTACTGATGCCCGGAGGGCTTTTCCTTGCTGGGATGAGCCTGCCATCAAAGCAACTTTTGATGTTTCGTTGGTCGTTCCTAAAGACAGAGTAGCTTTATCAAACATGGTACGTATGTGTTTGTAAGTATTTTTAGTTTTAATAAGCTTGTAGCATATGTAGTTCGCTGATTCGATGGAATAACAGAAAACGGATCTAGAACAATTCTTGATGCTAATGGGAACACAAATGTTACCTTTCTTTATTTCCAATAAGCCCTAGTTTTCTTTTTCCTTGTCTTATTTGGTAGGGTTATTTGCATATTTTAGAGATATAAATAAATGTCAAGTTTAATCAATTATTACCTGGAGGAAAAAAGTCAAGTTTCTTACTAAATGTCAGAAGATGTGGTCATAAAGTGTATTTACATTGTTGACTAATTGTGTTCCTAGAACATGCTCTCTCCATCCATGTCATTGATCTCTTTCATAGAGTAAGCATTGCTCACCCCAGAGTACTCTAGGGCGACCTTGTTTAAGGGAGAACTGCCAGTAGCCTGTGACTCTTGCCCTCCTTTTTGGTTGCAGAGAATTTTATGATAGAATGACATTCTCTCAGGAAACTAATGTTATTAATTTATACTTCAGAGTGGATTAATTCAGCAGATCTTGGAGCCCTGGTGGTGCTTTTAAATAAGCATTGGGCTGCTAGCCACAAGGCCGATAGATGAGGCTTTGAGACTATCTGTTCCTTTGAAGTTTTACAGCCTCAAAACAAACAAAAAACAAAATAATACTACGTGCATTGGAATTGCCTCAGCCACAGTGGGTTTGGGCTCTTAAGAGTACAGTAGAGGTTGGGGAACCAAGAACTTGAATAGAGGAAGGAAGGAGGAGAACATCAAAGATAAATCAAGAATTCAAAAGGTAACGTGTAGTCCATGGGTGGTATAAATGGTCAATATAGTCATCTGTTTCTGAAAGATATGGAAGCTTAGCCATCAGCTTCAGAAAACCAGCTATCAAACACTAGGCCGCACAGTTCTACACTGATACCCATCGGACAGTCAGTCATGAGTCAGCCTTAACTTAAGGCGACAGGGGCGTTTGTTTTGTTTTTAGAGATTAAATGGAGGATTCTTTAGATTGGCACAGAGCCAACCTCGGTACCCAAAATTCTGTAGACAGAGATCTACTCTTTTTTGAAGTGGCTGATTTTGCGATTACATTTGGTTTTTATTAATGTCTCATCCTATTTCACTTTGAAAGTATTGAGTTCTTTCTTACTGGCATATAATGGTATTTTTAAAAATTGATTCCATTTACATTTCTGCTGGGTTAAACACTTTAGCCCCCAAGTCCTTATGGTATGAGTGCTTTATCAGCTTACTTTCCTATGAAAAGGAAAGTGCTTGACGGAATAAAAGCCCTGGGTGAATTATAGTAGAGAAATAAGTGGTAATACATGCAGAAGAGAGGCAGGCAGTAAAGCCTACAGTTTGGGGTTAGTGTTTGCCGTAGCATATTTAATGTAATTCTGTTTAATTTCCCCTCCTTTTTTCCCCCTAAGAATGTAATTGACCGGAAACCATACCCAGATGATGAAAATTTAGTGGAAGTGAAGTTTGCTCGAACACCTGTCATGTCTACATATCTGGTGGCATTTGTTGTGGGTGAATATGACTTTGTAGAAACAAGGTCAAAAGATGGTGTGTGTGTCCGTGTTTACACCCCTGTTGGCAAAGCAGAGCAAGGAAAATTTGCGTTAGAGGTAAATGTACTTGAAGAGGATTGTTCCAACAGTCCATAACTCCAGGTTGGGGAATTTACATTTCGATCAATTATTAGTCTGGTTATGTATAATTTAATCTAAAATGCATTGTGCTTCTCTGGTTTTATTTTTAATAACATTCTGGGAATGTCGACCTTGGGTGTATCATTAACAGTTTATAAGATAATGATTAAGGAATATGAATGGAATTTATCCAGGAAATGGGTGGGGAAAATGTAATTATAGTCTTCACACCAAGTTAAAAGGGAGGGAATAAAGTTGGGCCAGTATATACGAAGCCTGGGGCTAAGGAGGTCTTTGGAGGGAGACTCCTAAGGCTTGGTCTCTAGTAACTTGAGCTACTTTGGCCTGCAACAGGATTCCTTTGTGGATTTCTATACGAATCACAGTGAAGTATTTACCAGATGACACTTTTGTTTCTACTTTTATAGGTTGCTGCTAAAACCCTGCCTTTTTATAAGGACTACTTCAATGTTCCTTATCCTCTACCCAAAATTGATCTCATTGCTATTGCAGACTTTGCAGCTGGTAAAGTAAATTTCTTTTTTTTTTTTGCTGAATTGTAAGAGTTTTTCTTGAATTTTGAGGAATAAAATTGATAAACATCAATAATATTTGTGTTTATTTTATGAAGGAGCCATGGAGAACTGGGGCCTTGTGACTTACAGGTATGCATGTTCAAGACACGCTCTCTTCTCAGTCGCTGATTTGGGGAGGGCTCTGCTCCTCGAGCCAAAGCGGATAGCTTCTGCTTTTATACTCCATTGTAAATTTTCCTTTCTGTGCACATTTCAGGAATGGAGATGGACCCCCCTCTGGTGCTGCTATCTGAGGGTGTACAATTTTAAAATGAACATCTGGCATTAGTGGCATTTTTAGATGTATTCTTGGCTGAGTTTCTAATTTCAGTACTTTCTCTTCTTTCCAATAGTTTCATAGTTATTTATCCAGCTTGAAGAACCCTCCCTGATTTCATGTAATTTAGCCAAGTTTTCACATGTCTGTCACCACAGTATAAATATGTGGGTTGTGTAATTTTTAAAGTAAGGTCTGTAAACACGTTTTTGCCTTCTGTTTTCCATTGCTTTCTTAGATGAGCTAAGTTTTGGACAGCCTGCCCAGTGCACTTTTTGGGACCACAGAATGCATCTGTTCCCCTCTCCCCTCCCCACCTCCTCTTTTTTTATTTATTCATTTTATTGGGAGCTCTTACAGAGATCATAACAATCCACAGTTCAATCACATCAAGCAGTATTGTACAATTGCTACCACAATCATTTCAAAACATTTTCTTTCTTAAATTCTTTGATATCAGCTCCCATTCCCCCTTTTTAATGGAAAAAACGTCTTCTCTCTCTAGCATTATAATCTCTAATGCCTTAGACAAAGCTTTTCTAAAAATTCAGGTAGCTGCCCTGTATCAACAGCTGAGAGTTAATCTTGTGTCACATCGTCCATCTTTTGTTGTATGCATTTTACTGGGGCTGTCCAGTCCTTCTGTCTTCTCTTGATGTCTCTAAAGCCCAACTTGACCATCTCCATTACTGTGTAGAGCCTCCCCGCTTGTACATACCAGCTTCTGTTGCAATGCTTTTTATTTTATTGTTTAATTTTTTTTTTCTTCTTTAAACACAGGGAGACTGCATTGCTTATTGATCAAAAAAACTCCTGTTCTTCATCACGCCAGTGGGTTGCTCTGGTTGTGGGACATGAACTCGCCCATCAATGGTTTGGAAATCTTGTTACTATGGTATTTAATATTTTTAAGTGCTCAAATATATTTATCTTCAACCGGAAGCACATTATTTTGGCTACATAATAGTCCAGGCTTAGCTGGAACAATGTGCCAAAAGCAGTTGAGTAATAGAAAAAAATTATCTGAAAAGATCCACCCTGTAAAATCTGTTGTGTTGATCAAGAGCTTGTAGACTATATATATTTGCTTGTAGACAATCTTGATTCCATAGAAAACACTTAAGTTGACAATAAGCCAAGGCAATAATTTGGGTGAGAAAAAGAGATTCCTCTTAAAATGATTGACTCATGCCATGATATTCCAGGGTGATTGTGGTTTTTAAAATTTTTTATTCATGTTTATTATTTAGTTTACTAGCTGAAAAAAATAGCCTGATAAATAGTAACCTGATTTTTGATTACTGTAGGTCAAAATGTTCAAAGGGTTTAGTTTTACATTGCCTAAATATTAAGTTGGAATTAGACAATAATAAAGGCAAAGAAACTACAGGGCACCTGTTAAGTATGTTAACAATTCCAGCTGTCCCTCTGAAGACTTTGTTTCTTACAGCGTTTATAGTGAATGATCTCTGCTCTCTAGTCTTGACTTCTACTCTTATTCTACATATGTACTTGTACTATCTATGGAAGCCAATCAGTCATGTCAGCTCTTGAGCAGCCAGGGCTTAAAAAACACGAACACTGAAGAGTTGGGAGCCAGTGAGATTACCTGACAGCATTTTAAGTTCTCAAAGAATAGAACCCAACTTAGATACTGGTTAAATCCACATGACACTGAAATAAACAAGAAAGCGAGACATTTAGCAATGTCTGAGTGTTCCTAAAGAAAGTCCATCCTTGAAAGGAAACCCTGGGGCTGTATAGCAGTGCACAAGTCTTCCTTCTGCTGTTGTAGGAGGCTTGCTACTGTCTACCAAACAGAATGATTTTGTTCAGTTTTGAGAAAACTTTGGTTATTTGTGTTGTTTTAAAACTACCAGCAATAAACTTTGGAAGGGGAAATGTGTGTGATCATACCACTTTAAAGCAACCTTTTCCTGGATTTGTAGTAGTGGTTGGGCTACATTTATGAACCGTGCTGCAAACCTACCCAGCACCTCCGTGGTAGAAACACCTGGTAATTGGTTTCCATGAAGGTCAATGCTTAAAGCCCCGTGGGACCAGTCCTATGCTATCCTGTGAGACCCTATGAGTCACAAATGGACTCAGTGCCACCCATCATCAGTAGCACCTTTCTAATTTGTTGATGCCACTTGTTTCATAAACTGAAATTCCAAAGGCTTTCTAATAGGCCGTATTTAGTTGTGTATCAATGTATGTTTGTGAAAGTTCCTAGCAAAATGGCATAAGGTACTTAGACTGATAGTCTTATGTCACTGAATGTTAAAAATATTTTATCTTTACAGAGTTTTAAAGAGCCCCTTTGTTTTCGCCATTGCATTAGTTCTTTGGAACTGTCTTGCATTCATATATTGCTTTCTTTTCATAAGAGATTGAGTCAAGGTTACTGATAATTAGATTGAGGTTTTTAAAAATGTTATCCATGACAGTGTATATCCCTTGTCCATTCTGCTCACTGTAGATTCTTATTAACAGGTGAGAAAGTTAATATTCCATAAATGTTCAAACTCCATTCATTACTGAACCAGCTTATTGCCATGACATTTCTATTAATTTCACTTCATCCTTATATGAACTGTACATCCTTTCTATTTATCTTAGAAGTTGGCCTGTCAATCAACAATGACTTTTCCCGGTCATGTGGAAATAGTCTGCACTTTTTCTTGCTTGACTCTGCTTTTTTCTTTAGGGAAGTCCTTTAGTAAACTACGTTTTATATGATGGTATTTCTCATATCTGCCATTATACATTTCTGCATTCTCTTCCTCCTTTCAACATACAGATTTGTTTTTGTCCCCTTTCATCTCCTATCATGTCTGCCTCAGGCAGTAAACGCTTTTATGTAGGAATGTATTGGTAATGAAGGAGCCCTGGTGGTGTCGTGGTTACAAGTTGGGCTTCAATCCACAAAGGACCCAGTTCATCACCACCAGCTGCTCTACAGGAGAAACAGTAAATAGCCCTAAAAGCAGCGACAGTCTCGAAGCTCACAGGGACAGCCCTACCCTGTCCTATAGGGTCCCGATGAGTTGGCATCCACTTGATGGCAGTGAGGTTGTTTTTATGTTGGTAATGTCTCCGAGGCAAAAAGCTAATATTACTAGTTGGCCTTTCTTGGCATCTCTTTTTAGGTCTGCCCCTACACCCAGAGATGTGAGTTGAATTTAGTTGACTAAGTTGTTAGGTTTTGATTACAATGAGGAAGAGACTAAGAGTTTTTCAAACAAGTAGGAAAAAAAGCTTTTAGGCTTATTTTTAACATATTTTCATCTTTTTTTTAAAGGAATGGTGGACTCATCTTTGGTTAAATGAAGGCTTCGCTTCCTGGATTGAATATCTGTGTGTAGACCACTGCTTCCCAGAGTATGATATCTGGACTCAGTTTGTTTCTGCCGATTACACCCGAGCCCAGGAACTTGATGGCTTAGATAATAGCCATCCCATTGAAGTGAGCCCTACTTTCCAATCATTGATAAATAATATTATAGAAATACTTAGGACTCTTGAAAAAAGGAGAAATTGCTTGAGTGATTTCATGTGACTGGTTTATATTTTTCCACATTTCCAGTCTTGAAATCTAATAATACTGTTACAATTAATACTTTCTTTAAGATAGGCATAATAAAGTGTTGGTCTTTGTAGAGGCAAGAGCTGTGTACCTCTAAGCATTCACTAAATGTTCTCTCATTGAATGGTATGGGAAAGTTATGCCTGTGATTCCACTGCTTGTTTCAAGATAGTTCTGAACGTATCCTTTTACCGGTGCCATTGTTTGGTTTTGTGCAAATTTTAATTCTCTGGACTTAGCCTGTCTTAACTGTGCTTAGTGTATATATGTATCAATTTTACCTACTAAAAACTAGCGTTGTAATCTTATTTGGAATATTTAACCAAAGTCTTATAGAATGTAGGCCAATATAATTAATGCAAGAAATAAAATGCTTTTCATTTGCCCCCGTTTTTTCTCACCTTGAGAATTAGTAGATCCATAATGACTTTTCTCTCGGCAGAGGTGAACCAGGAGTGGAACCCAGGCCTTAGGACAATGGTTGTCAACTTGTGGGTCACAACCCTTCTGGGGGTTGAACGACCCTTTCACAGGGGTCACCCGATTCATAACAGTAGCAAAATTACAGTTATGAAGTAGCAACGAAAACAATTTTCTGGTTGGGGGTGGCCATCACATGAGGAACTGTGTTAAAGGGTCATGGTATTAGGAAGGTTGAGAACCGCTGCCTTAGGAGATGAGATGACTTGCACTATGTACTCCACATTTACTAGTATTAGTCCACACACTTTTTTGAATTGTAGTAACTATTGATTATAGTTAGCTATTTGGTTGTAAAGTGTGCTTTTATGAGTAAGCTAAAGGCAGAAAAGTAACTTATGAGTTAGAAGGGTTTTCCTAGAAAGCGTTTTATGTAATTCAGTGTTACAGGCTGTCTGCTTCCTGTCATAACCCTGAATCACACTGTCTGCCAGGTCAGTGTGGGCCATCCTTCAGAGGTTGATGAGATATTCGATGCAATATCCTATAGCAAAGGGGCATCTGTCATCCGAATGCTGCATGACTACATTGGAGATATGGTAAGGAAGGCATTTAAAAATCCTGCATTCTAGAGTTTTTGCATATTTTTTATTGTATTTGGAATAAGTTCCTAGATCATTTTTCTAGAGGAACATGATTGTCATGCTTGACTTGTCTTCCTATTTTTAATTTTGATTTTATATTGACTGTAATGGTTTCTTAGATAAATGATAGGCAAATATGTTAGGGGCAGGGATGGGAGAGAGTATAGTATTGTAAAGCAAACTATAGAGAAGGTGCAATTCTTAAAAGGCAGTAGGCATCAGATGGACATACATTTTTAACTAACACTTAGACAATTTGAAAAAATAATCCTTTTAAGTACTAATATGAAAATGTGGGGGGAGCGGGGAGGGAGGGGGAAAATGAGGACCTAATGTCGGGGGTTTAAATGGAGAGAAAATGTTTTGAGAAACGATGTACAAATGCGCTTTACACAATTGATGTGTGTATGGATTGGGATAACAGTTGTATGAGCCCCTAATAAAATGTTAAAACAGAGAAAAAACAAAACAACAAAAAAAAGACAGTAGCCAATGACCAATAAAATATGATTATAGGAAAGAAAATGTACTGTAAATTATGAGACCTGATTTACTTGAATTTAAAAAATTGTTTTTTCTCAGGACTTTAAGAAAGGAATGAACATGTATTTAACAAAGTTCCAGCAGAAGAATGCAGCCACAGGTAATCCACAATAGCCTGATGCAAAGATGAAGAGGAAAAAAGTATCGACACTATCCAGGATGGGGCATGTCCTTTCCTAAATGCAATCATTGGCCTGACATAAATCAGGACCCATTATCCCTGTGCTCCCTTTCCAGTATCCGACTTCCCTTAGCTCAGTAGTCTGCCGCTGAAAGATGTGGAGGAAATTCTGTTACCTAACGAGCTGGTTCTTTTTTTCTTTTTTTTTTTTTTTTTTAGTGATTGGCCCATTTTATTGTCCTAACCAGACGATTTAAAATAGCTCCAAAGTAACTGTTTAAGGAATGAACTCATAGAATTACAGCACTTCAGTGTAGTACCATAAAAAAAATTTTCTTAACATGTGGTTTATAATTTTTTGGATTATGAAATCAGTGAAACAAAACGTGTAAGAGTTGTGTGATTGTAAAAAGGAGCCTGGCTTGGAATTTTGAGTTCTCCGGTGAACAAAATACTTTCCAAAAAACCAAACTCGCTGCCATTGATTGAGTCAATTCTGTCTCGGAGTGGCTCCACAGAACAGGAAAGAACTACCCCTGTGGGTTTCTGAGACTCGCTTTTCACCACAGAAAAATCCTCCACTTTCCCCCATGGTTCAAATGCGGACCTGATGGTTTGCAGTACTCACTGCACCCCCCCCCCCAAGCTCCTTCAAAAGATAAAGTTTATGGTAATTTGTATTTAACAGAAGGACAAAGGTTCAGGCCAGTATTATCATGACCCACCCACACCAGAAAAAACATCCTGCTTAGTTTGTAAAATGTAGAGATCTATTTGGTTCCTTAAAAGCAGGGTAGGGAAAAATGTGCTTGTGCATACTTTGTAAGTCTTCTTCTATATGAGTAAGGAGTCCCACTAACTCAGGTGCTCAACTGCCAGCGGCTGGAACCCACTCACCTGCCCGTGGGGAAAAGGTATAGCAGTCTGTGTCTGTGGAATACAGTCTTGCCAACCCTAGGGGAGCAGCTCTACTCTGTCCTCCGTAGGGTTGCTGTGATTCTCAGTCAGCTTGACAGCAGTGGGTTTGGTGTTCTGGATGTATATGTATGTGCTTCTTAAATCATAATTTGTGTGCTAACTGCAGTCTATTAAAATGCTTCTAAAAGAATAAAATGCTTCTAAAGCAGTAAGATAGGGGTGAGGCCTGAACATCTGCATTTCTGACAAGTTCTTAGGTGAAATCAGTGCTGCTGGTTCATGGGCATATACCATGTGACAGATTTATTTTAATGTGGAGAAGGCAATTGGCAGAGAATATATATTTCACTTACCATCCACTGTTCTCATTCTCTTACAGGAGTTCCAACGTCCTAGCATCGTCTGTCCTTGTGCCTCTTAACTCATTGATTCTTGCCTGCCCCCTATCTCTTTAGTTGTATCTCTCCCATTAAGTTAGAGCTATCTTTTTTATATGTGAATATCTAATTGTATTAGACCTTTCTGATTGAAAATCATGGAGAGGCCACATTTTTTTCATGGTAAAGTCTGTGCTTTGTAAGACTTAACATACCCTAAACAGTTCAGCCCCTGTTTACTTCCTTAGCCTCGTCCCTGCTTCTTCCTACACATGTACCTTGCATTCTTCAGCCTTAGTGAACATGCTGCTGTGATGGCACATTTTGTCTTTTTCTTACTTATTCTGTCTACCTGGAATGCCCCTTTTCTCTTTTTGCCTAGTAAACAACATGTATCTTCTAAGTACAAGACAAAAGTTACCACACCGCTTTTGAAGCTTCCCTCTATGTACGCCACCATTTTTTCACATTGTACATGTTTACTACATACATTTATTCTGCTACTTTATTCTTACCTTGTGTCATCTTGCTGTTTTACTTTCCTTCCACATGTGATATGTGACTCTGAATTTTATTTCACCTCATCGACACAAAGTATTGCTAACTTCTGTTCATTGACTTGAGTGTAATGGTTTTGTGTACTATTTATTACTAGTGATGTTGACCCAGCGTTCCATTTGTTTGCATTGCTTCTTGTTTGAAGTATCTGTCTTTTATCTGTGACAAGTGACTTAATGGGGCAGTAGGGTAATTTTGCCCACTGTTGCTTCCAAACTTGAAGGAACCAAAGAGTGAGTCAGCACGGTAATGCTGCCATGTGGGGCTCAATAAACCTCTGGTTGGTTCGGGACAATAGTATGTAAACATTTTGATTTTCATTGTGTTTATCTTCTAGAGGATCTCTGGGAAAGTTTAGAAAATGCTAGTGGTAAACCCATCGCTGCTGTGATGAATACCTGGACCAAACAAATGGGATTTCCCCTCATTTATGTGGAATCAGAACAGGTATACTGACACAAATTCCTCCCATTTGTTTGATATTATGTTTTATGGAATTCAATAAATAGTATTAAATTTGCTTTTTGCTACATGACATTTAAACCAATTTGCTTTTACTGTTTCCTCAGTGACTGTACAATAAACTATTTGCTTCCCACATCGTTAAAAAGATACATAATACAGTAGAAAAAGGATCTCTGGTGGTACAGCTGGTTAAGCACTGGGCTGCTGACCCACCAGCTATTCCATAGAAGATGCGGCTGTCTGCTTTTCTAATGATGCACAGTCTTGGAAACCCTGCTGGACAGTTCTCCATCCTGTAGGGTTTCTATGAGTCCAAATTGACAGTGGGTTTGTTTTTGTTGTATTCTTTTTTGTTTATTTATTTTTATTATAGTGGGAAATAAAATATTCTCTGTTACTACTGTTTCAAAGGAAAAGCTGTAAAATTGTTGATATCTATGAGGAAACTTCAAAAAGTTCATGGAGAAATTTCATTAACTCTCCATTTTGATGCTGCCTCTAATAAACCATGTAAACCATTGGGTTTATTTTAGGAATGCTACTTCAAGGTTTTACTTTGTCATTTTTCTTGTTTGTTTGTTTGTTTAATTTTATTGGGGGCTCGTACAACTCTTATCACAATCCATACATATATCCATTTGTCAAGCACGTTTGTACATTTGTTGCCCTCATCATTCTCAGAGCATTTTCTTTGTGCTTGAGCCCTTGGTATCAGCTCCTCATTTTCTCCCCGCCCTCCTGCCCCTGCTGTCTTTGTTTTGATGTGTGTTTGCAGGTACAGCAGAATCATCCCCCATCTTCTGTTAGAATAAGAATCTTGTCTGTGGTTCTTAAGTTCTTTAAGAATAGAAGTGGTCTGCAACGTGAGTGACAGATTTTGATTATGATCCTTTCCACATGTTACATTTCCTAAATGTAACAATTTCGAATTAATTTTTAATCAATTAGGAAACCTTACAGCCCTATGCTGTAAGTTCCCTAGTGCTTACTTCAACGCCATTGTGTCCTCACTCTCATTTTTTTGGTAATATTTTAGTTCTGTCTCTTGTAGTAGTTAATTTATACCCAGGAAGGTCATGATTCAATTTTTATTTAATCACCTGTAAATCTGCTATGTCTTGTGGTGAAATATTTTTCTCCCATAAATAAATTTATCTTTTAGCCCTATAACGCCTGAAGTTTTAATTTCAGGAAAAAAAAATCTTTTAGTTTTTATTCTTTACTTTCATTGTTATCAATATATATTAATATATACATTTAATTAAATGTTAGGAAAACGTCGTGCTCAGCGTTATAGGGTTTCACTAGCATACAATTCACATATCATACAGTCAAGTGGTATAAATGCATCAAAGAGAGTTGTACAGTCACCACCACAGTCAATTTTGGGTTTCTTTACGCTGTCCTCTAAGGCCTCTAAGATATGATAAATGAAGCCCCCCAAAATCTATATTGTTGAAGTATTTTTCCAGCATAGCATTGTTGGGCACAGCTTTTGTAGTTCTCTGTGGTTTTTTCCATCTACTACTTTTGTGGGTGTTTTACTACAAAGGCCATCTTTCAAGGGTTTTTTTCCTCCTTCATTGTTTATCAACCCCCTAAAATTAACTCTGAAAGCCACATACTAATCTAATGTTGTCAATCTTGAAAGTATTAACGACTAAATGTTATGAATAACAACTACAGTGCATGTTTTTTTGAATTATTGGTTACTGACTGTCCTGTTGAAAGGAGAGTTCTGGTGGTGTCTGGGTTCTACTTCAGGTGGTAACCGCCAGGCCAGCAGTTTGACATCACCTGCCGCTCCAAGGGAGCAAGATGACATGGTCTGTTCTGGCAAAGGGAAAGCCACAGGAGCAGTTTACCCCATCCTTTGGGTTACTATGAATTCTTAAAACTTTTAGAAATTTATTCTCATCCCCATTTTTTTTTTTACATTATCTTTTGAAAGGGCCATATTATATAGAACCTGACCTCTTATTCATAGTGTTACCATCTTAAGGGCTAAATTAGAATAGCAACATCTCCCATTCTGCTGTGCTATCTTCATTACCATTGCATTTTCCCTATTCAGGAGCTTTGTTAGTCAAATGAAAGTTTGCTGGGGAGGGGAGGAGGTTAGAGAGGAGTCCATACCAAGGGCTCAATAGAAAGTAAATGTCTAGAAGAGAATGAAGGCAACATATGTACAAACATTCCTGATTGATCGATGTATGGATTGTGATAAGAATTGTATAAGCCCCCAAAAAATGACTTAATAAAAAAAAAAGGTCTGCTTGTCACAAAAATGCTGCACCCCACCTCCTCTGCCCCCTCGAAAAAGGGGTGATACTACTATAGTCTTTCTTCTCCTTTAGGTAGAAGATGACAGAGTACTGAAGTTGTCCCAAAGGAAGTTTTGTGCCAGTGGACCTTATGTCGGTAAGCTAATAGCTAGGAGTGAGATCTGAACAGTGAATCTGAATTATATCCCAGTAATGTTCCAACTAATAGGAAACAGTTATCCATTTTTATACTTTTAATAGAATTCATTAAAAGCAGAGAAATAATAATAGAATAAAAAGGAAAACTAGGGAATTAAAAAAAAGTGCTTCTTGAACTGTATAGTGATTTGTCACAGTCTTGGATTTTTTTGGTTCCTAGTTTCTGTAGAAGAATTGGAGAAGGATAGGAACACCCAAGAAGTCATTCCTCCACCTTAAAACCTGAGAGAGGATTGATTTATTTTGGATAGAGTCTGAGTCAAGCCCAGTGATGATTTAGATGTTATGTACCAGTCATTGTACTGAGCACCTTCAACTGGCCGTTCTTCTGTATTCTCACCAACCCTGAGTCAGATGATGTGTATCATGTTCTACCCATCAAGATCTAATACACTTTATTGACATTATGAAGAACATCCTTTCACGCTGGGCCTCCCTTTGCATTGAAAGTACTCTTGTAATAAATATGTCTGACAAGTCAGATGACAGATTCATTATCTAAACAAATCCTTAAGTGTCACAGTGGCTGTTTCTGCCTCATACCTGTAATCTGCCTGGTGGAACTGACTGGTTTTACAGGTTTTCCTAAGGCTCTGTGAACAATTTAGGCAACTTTAAGGCCTAAGATATCCAAGTGTCAACAGGAGATTTGAAATCTGGTCTGGCGCGATAGCAAAAACCTGTCTAACTAGCAAAATAGCTCCATTAGTGTACTCTCTTTTGTTTGACATCTTAATGCAAAATCTGTTAGTTTCACTGCCTGGCATCTAAGACAGTAAGTGTATCTGTCTTATAAAAGCTTTGACTTTTAGATATGACTTCTCTGTGTTGGAATCTAAAAGCCCTCAGGATTTATTCAATATATCACAACAACAAAATCCAACACTTTGGTTTTTCAGTAGTGTATACACACATGCAGAGCCCTGGTATAGTGGATTTCAAGCTGGGCTATTAACCACAAAGTCAGCAGTTTGAATCCACCAGCCACTCCTAGGAAGCATGATGATCCTTTCTGTTCCCATAAAGATTTACAGCTTCATAAAACCACAGAGGCAGTTCTACCCAATCCTACAGGGTTACTATGAGTTGGAATCAACTCACTCGCAGTGAATTATCCACACATGGGGTCGTCCAGAGTTAACTCTGCTCATCAGTAAGTGATAGCAATAATATCCCTAGTATTCTCTTGGGACTGCACTTTAGTTTTATGGTTTTGTTTGTTTTTTTTTTCAACTTGTTTTTAAATGCTGTGCGAGAGGTTTTTACCTTCAGAAAATGTATTTTAACAACAGTAAAATGATTGCCATTTCAATTACTTTGTAAAAGGAAAAGATTTGGGTAAAAAAAATCATAACACCTGTGACTATAAATGAGTAAGCTGGTCTTTTTCAGACTGTTGTGATTTTGTTAGTAAATTCTCTCTCTCTCTCTATGTTTTGGTAATTATCTTCTTTGCACTAACATTATTCACATTCCTGGAAGAGTTCTGATATTACTGGAAATGAGCCTCTGGCCTAGCAGTTAAACTCAAGCCTGCGGTTAGCACCAGTCCCCCTCTCAACCTACCCTCCATTTCTTCTGTAAATGGCTTTTCTTCTCCCTTTTTCTACTGTTCTTCTCATGTTTAAGGTGAAGACTGTCCCCAGTGGATGGTCCCTATCACAGTCTCCACCAGTGAAGACCCCAGCCATGCCAAAGCAAAAATTCTTATGGACAAACCAGAAATGAGTGTGCTTTTGAAAAATGTCAACCCAGACCAGTGGGTGAAGGTGAGTTCCAGGAATACCATGCTTCTGTATTCCGTCTGCATGAAATTTAGAGTTGGTTCCCAAACAGAATTGTCTAGGGATTTGCTTGTATATTAGGTAAGGAAGTGATAGGTAAACAGATAAGAAGGGTAGGGTTGGTTAAAGATGAAAAATAAATAGTAGTCTGTGTCTAAAATCTCATTAACCAAAACATTTATCATCTTGCAAGTCCAAACTGCCCTGCCACTGTAATGACACTGTAATTTCAATGATGTGGTGTTGTCATAGCTGTATAACTATAATCACATGAAGTCAGACATCTAACGATCAGTTTGTGTCACTGAAATGTGAAATTCATTTAGTTGGTATGTGTTTTAGAAATTGTTTCATGAAACTAACATGTGATTAGGATCTTCCACTACTCTGGACTCAGGCCCTCCTATAATAAAAGTATCTACTGTAAACTTTTTATATATAGGTGCTAAATAGAAATTCTACACTGTCTCAGAATTGTGCTTTTTTAAAAATGAACCATTTTTCTCTTTTAATTTTTTAAAAATTATTTTATTGAAGGCTCGTACAATTCTTATTACAGTCCATACATACATCCATTGAGTCGAGCACATATGTGCACCTGTTGCCTTCATCAATCTCGAAACATTTGCCCTCTACTTTAGCCCTCAATATCATTTGCTCATTTTCCCCCTTCCCCCTCCCTACTGGACTCTTAATTTTTAAAATATACTTAGTAGGATATGATATTACCATTTGAAATTATAATCTAGAAGATTATATAGCAATATAAAATTTGTCCTAGGGCAAAAGTTAACGTGTGCTGTGGTTCTAATTAAGTTAAAAGAGGTGTTTCTCCTACAGTAACAGATAAAGGAAATCAATAAAATAATATCTATTAAGTTGGGTGATTTTAAAATACATATGCATGAAAACCATAAGATACATTTTATGGTATCATTTTGCTATAAATGTCACTATTAGAGTGTTTCTGTTTAATATTTTAAAAATATCTTTTGACTCTTAGTAAACAGTTTATAATAATGTTAGTCAATTTAGGACTCTCATGAGATTGCCTTTTAGGTCCATGTAATTCTTTACAATTTGGGACCAGAAGTTCTCATTCTGTTGAGGCTCTAGGATCAGTAATAGGTTATGTTTGTAGAGATTCCATCTGCTGCAGACCCCACTGTCTGGATGTTTGAGAATTGCCCTGGAGTCAAGTCCCACTCAGAGTGCTCCTGCGCGATGGAGACCCACTCAGAGTGCCTCCTGCACGAGAGAGTCCCACTCAGTGCGCCTGCGGGACGGAGTCCCACTCAGAGTGCTCCTGCGCGAGGGAGTCCCACTCAGTGCGCCTGCGGGACGGAGTCCCACTCAGAGTGCTCCTGCGC